TAATTGCTGAAGCTGAGATTTTGGGTACTTTGGGATTTATTATTCTTTCTACTTGCCTATATATTTGGAAATACCCATAATAAAAAGATTTTAAAAAGAAAGAGTCATCAAAGATGGGAGGGACAAATCAAGACAGCATGGTGGCAGAACCCAAGATGGAAATACCCATAATAAAAAGATTTTAAAAAGAAAAAGAGTCATCAAAGATGGGAGGGACAAATCAAGACAGCATGGTGGCAAGGAACCCAAGAAAGAAAATTTCAAGCTGAAAGGGGACAAATACACCTTAGATCTGCCCTGATTTAGAGAGCAGGCACAGCCCAGTCGCAAGAGTATGAAACAAACAACCTGCGTTCCAAACCAGAAAAAATCGACATAATCCGTGGCACCGTGAATCGAGGTTAGAAAGGAGAATTTCCTAGTTGCTAAAAACTGAAACAGGTCATCAAATAAATTATGGGATCTCCTTCTCTGAGGACCTTCAGAAATAGGATCGACGGGGCTGAAATGGAGGCAGCGTCGCTCAGGGAGAGGAGGTTCAGGTCCGCCGCCTGCTCAGGTCACAGAGGCGGACAGGCACTGGGTGGGGTAGGGGCTGGGGGCGGGGAGGAGCCCGCAGCCGGGCCAGGCAAACATCAGTGCCCTCCCTCGCCTCTGCTCTCCTTCCCTCTCAGGGAGCACTTTCGCAGGTCCTAGTTCTGCCCAGAATTACGGAGATTTTAGGGATGCTAGAGATCAAGGCGGGGGTGGGGAGCGGGTGGGAGGGAGAGGATGAATACAAATTCCAGGTGCATTTCATTTGCACATAACTATGCTTTGGCTTCGTAACCCAGTATCTGGTTACCTGTGCACTGGCCCTCCACCACGCAAACAATCCCTGACTCAGAAAGAAACCAAAACTACGGGCATTGTCTTCGCAAAGGGGACCAATGTTGAACGTGGCGGACAGCTGCGGGCCAGCACAGCGGGGCCTGGGCGGAGGCGGGCGCGGGCCGCTCCTCGCCTGGGTTCCCGGCAGATTCCTGAGCCGCTTCCAAAGGGGCAGGAGCCGGGCTGGCCTTGATGCACCCCACCCCACCCAGTGCCTGCAGAGCCGCCTCAGACCTGGGCGGCTACAGTCCGGCACCTCGCCTCCCGCGCACAGTGGGAGCACTATTTGGGGAGTGTGCGTGCTCGCTGCCCGGGACAAGAGCTCTCTCAGCCCCAAACTAGGCTATAAATACCTGAGTTCTACTGCAGCGCAGCCTCGGCTTAGAGGGGAGCCGGCTAGCTCAGTCCTAGGTTAGGGATTGCTAAAGGTGCGCGCAGAGACCGCTGCCCTTCTCGTACTCTTTCCAGGAGCCCCCTGAGTCAGAGCAGGACGGGCGGGGACGGGGCGGGGAGGGGTGGGGGGAAGGGGCTTGCGGATGACGTCATGAAACTGTTGGAGGTTTTAGCTCTGAAACCCGCCAGGGAGCGGCCCCAGGGCCTGTGTTCCATTTAAGCAGACAGTGTACCGGCCTCGGCTCCACTTTCCAAAACCCGGCAGGGCAACTTTCCACCTTTAGTGAGACCTAAGCGGACCTGAGATCTGAAGGAAATCAGCGTGGATGACTAGGCCAAGAACCCCGAAGAATGGGCATGCAGGCATGGGCTGCGGACAAGGCTCTCACTAGTATGGGTCGGGCCATGGGGCCATTAGAATGCTTCCAGCAGGGTCTCAGGTAGAGGGAGAATTTCAGGCTGAAATATGCCTCATGGCACAGGTAATATTATTGCTAACTGCAATAACAAAAATGTTTATGGAATATTACTGCCTTCCAGAGACCAGTCAAACCCTTGAAGTGTTTATTCCCCACCCCTAACCCCATTTTACAAATGACAAATTAAAGCCCAAAGAGGTTAAGAAACCAACGCACGAACACACAGCTGGCAAGTGAAGGAGCTAAGATTTAAACTCATGTCTGTCTCCAAACCCAGGCAAGCTCTTTTCAAAACACTGCATTGCCTCTCAGTTTTCATATGAAATGAATAGTGGTGACGTGGAAGTAACAACAAGAGGAAAAGTCACGTGCTGTCTAGGAGGTGATGGGATGCAGGAAGACAGTGCTGGGCACAGAGTTGAGCAGAGCTCATTTCAGAGAGTTCAGAGAAAAGTCTGACCCAGTGGGATTCTAGGCTAAATCCCTAAGTATGAATCTGTGTATAAAGGATGAAAGGCTAGCAAGTCATTAATTCTGTTGAGGAAAAAAAAGAAAAGAGTTTAAAAGAGAATCACCATGACAGCAACAGGGAGCTCTGAGTTGAGCCCATGCTTTCAGGAAACAGTTGGTTCACACATAAGCGGAAAGGCAAGGGATGGGCGTGCACCCAGGTGTGAATGCACAAAAGCAACTCCGACCTGTAAGCCTGACTTCAGGCCAACTGAAGGCCAAGCAGAATGACTTGAAGAAAAAAAAATAGAAAGCATTTGAATTTTTTCATTCCTTTTCTGATAGAAGTTGTAGGGTGGCCATTTAGGGAATGATATTTGATCTCAGCACGATGTCTTGTGTTTTAGTGGAAAGATCACAGGATTGAGGTCTACAGACCAGGATTCATCATTAATAAGTTGGGTGAACCACAGCAAGTTCCTTAACCTCTCTGGGCTTCGTATATGAAAGATGGGGCATGCTCTCTTAGGTCCCTTTCATCTCTAAGTTCTGTGATTCCCCATTGTAATGAAAAGAGGACAGTTTAGTCCAGGAGATGTAGCCACGAGAAGGCAGCCACACCCTGAGGGCTATTTAATGCACAATGACCAAAGAGAAGACTTGGTGCCTGTTTTGCTATTTATATACATGTATTAATGACTTAATCTTCAAATGATAGGAGAGCTATGGAAAAGGGTCATAGAATGAAGATTTAAAATAAACTAGAGGGACTGGACGAGGCTCGAACTAAAAGCCAGATGAAATTAGTTGACATAAATATAAAGCCCTGTGTCTAAGTTTTTTTGTTTTTTTTTTTTTTTTTGTAAATACCTATACGAGTTAAGGATAGGGAAGACCAAGTTGAGAAGCAGACGATGGAAAGAGGGGTCTGGGTGATGGAGATGAGCACTCATTCAAGATGAAGTGATTCAGCTGTCATCTAGCTGCTAACAAGAGAGCTAGTGCAACTTTGACCATATTTAACAATAAGGGTAACTTCCCACATTATCTCATTTCTGGGGCCTGATAGTGTCATAGGATCCCAGCCCAGGAAGTGTCAGTGACGTTGCTTCCTGTGCCATCAGATCCTGTCATTGGTGTTGTTTTTAATGCTGGGGGCCTTATGGAGTGATGAACCGTAGTGTGTGCAGAACAGGGCAACCAGGATAGAGAATGTCTGAAAACCAAGTCTTGTGGGACGGGACCGAGAGGGTTGGCAGTGCTCAGCTCAGAGGAGGCACAACCAATGGTGGTGTGAGAGGGGGGATAAGTACAGCGATGGTTAAGACTTGGATTCTGACTGCCTGCCATCAAATCTGTATACTTCCATTTGTAAATTGTGTGACATCAGGCAGTTACTTAACTGCCTCAGTGCCTCAGTTTCCCCAAATGTAAAAAGGGGATAGCCATAGTAACTAATTTATAAGATTATTATGACGGTAATAGGTGAGATGTATATAAAAGCTTCCCTGGCAGATGGCAGTACACATGCACAATGATGATGATGATTTCATCATATATCTGGTGGGTTGTCTGAATGGAAGAGGGAGGAGGGTCATTCTGTCTGGCTTCAGAAGAGAGGAAAAGACTAATGAGTATAGCAGGAAGAAAGAGAATCTGGTTCAACATAAAGGACCTTTCAAATAATCAGAATTTCTCAATATAAAAATGAGTTCCTATTTACCAGAGAAGCTTGCTCTATTCCATTTTTTAATTGGGAAAACAAGTCGTGGGGATAAGATACTCTAAATTAAGAGCATCAAAGAAATCAGTAGGTAAACCAGCATGGTGACAAGACCTACCTTTCTAGTCCTCCTCTGTTGAGAAATCTCTAGAAGTTTGGATTTGTAGGTAATCTCGAAGACCATGGGTTTCAGTTGCATGCTTTTGATTTTCCTGCATCACAATAAGCAAGGTAAAGAGCTTGGGCTTTGTAGTCAAATACCCCCACTTAGAATCCCTGCTCTGTTATTTATCAGCTATGCAATTTTCATTAACTTAGCTCACCTCTATGGGTCCAGTTTTTTGTGTGTTTTTTTTTTCCATAAATGAAGTAAACTACCTACAATCTTGAATAATGATCAGAGATAATCTATTTCTTGCTGTGTTGATAAACATTATGGCAAAGTGGGTGACATTATCAATATGTGAAATGGGCAAATTCAAGCTTTCTGCCCTTTTGTACCTGATGGGGATGCGGCTGGTGGAGATAGGATAAAGAAACTCTGCAACCTCAGCAAGCACACATGCCAAAATTGCACTTACAATACAGATATGGGAGACAGGCAAATTCTGAAAGGCTTCCAAATCTTAAAGTCTTGTACTTTCACAGGAGGGATAAAATAAGAGGCGGTAAATGAAACTTTTCTGTCATTTTTAAGAATCTACTGTGTTAGGTTATGGACTCAGTGTCCTACCAACTCTTCACAACTGTTAGGAAGGGCTAGAATGAATGATAATGAGGTTAGACTGGAGAACAGGTTTGCAATTGTCTTATGAACCATCCCTTAAGCCCTTGTAAATCTATAGAGGGTCCCTGGAACTTTATGCTGTCTTCCCCAGAGCTGACCAGGTCTGAATCTCCCCCATCTCACTGCAGTGCCCAAAGCATTAGGCCTGAGCAACTTTGCCCAAGATTCAGCTTCTGATGGAGGCAAGCTTGTGGCTGAGAGTCCATCACATCCTTCATGATTAGAGGCCTCAACACACATACACACACACACACACACACACACACACACACACTCACACTCACATACATGTACACACCACCTTATTTTGCGATACACCAAGGACACTAACAGATAACCTTTCCTCCCTGCCCCCCAGTGTGATGGAGTTGGTGTTGACCTGAGCAACATCTTCCTTGAAGGCATTGCCATTCTCAACATTCCTAGCATGTATGGTGGCACCAATCTCTGGGGAGAAACAAAGAAGAATCGGGTTGTGATCCGGGAAAGCAGGAAGGTCGTCACTGATCCCAAGGAACTGAAATTCTGTATCCAAGGTAAGCCAGGAATGAGGAAAATTTCTCTAGGTCAATGCCCTAGTGGGAGGGGTATTCAGGTGGGCTTGTTCACAAACTGTATCTGGGCCTACAGCAGGTTCTAGAAGTCCCTACAGCCTGACAAGGACCATTGCTCTGGGGACATGCTGACTCATCATCCCTGATGTTGCAAAGTGTACAGCCTAATTGAGAAGAGAAAATCAACAATAAGGGAGCCCTAAATATAGTCAGCAGTCAAACTGTGGGACTCCATGAGGTCAAGAGTCAAATGCTCCTCCTGTCAAGGTCAAGGTTACCAGTATGCTCCAAAAACTAAATCCAATAGTCAATTCTCAACCTTGATCTTGCTTCACCTATCAGCATCATTGGAACCAATTGATCACTCCCTCTTCCTGTAAATACTTGGCTTCTAGGACTCCAGGTTTTCCTCTTACCCCACTGGTGACTCTTTCTCAGTCTTTTTTGCTGATTGTTCATCTTTTCTCTAACCTCTTGATGCTGGAGGGTCCCCAGGCAGCGTCCAGGACCCTCTTCCCTTTTCTATCTGTGCTCATCCTTGATGACCTCATCCAGTGGTGAGACTTTATTTAAATACCACGTGAATGCCAATGACTCAGCACGTCCAAAACTGAACTGATGTACCTCCCCCAAACCTTCTCCTCCTACAGTCTCCTCCATCTCAGTTGATAACTCCAACCTGCCAGTTGCTGGAGCCAAAACACTTGGCATCATCCTTGACTCCTCCTCTTATCTCACATCTCACACCCAATTTATCAGAAAATCTGTTAGCTTTACTTTTAAAAGTAAAGGATCCACCCACTTCTCACCACTGCATTCCTACCATCTTGGTCTGAGCCACCACCCTCTGTCCCTTTGGATTACTGCAGATCCTCCTAACTGAATTTCCCGCTTGTACCACTGCCCTATACAATCAGTTCCCACCACTGCTTCAAAGTACCCCTGCAAAAATATATCAGATAACGCTTCTGCTCCAAACCCTGAAGTGGCTCGGAGTAAAAGCCGAAGATGTCCATGTAGCCTGGAGGTCCCAGATGATCTGGCCTCCCGTTACCTCCCAGACTTCATCCTCTGTTCATCCCGCTGGCTCCTCTAACACAGCAGGCTGCTTCCATGAACCAACTATTCTTTCTACCTTGAACAGCCAGTCAGTGTGTCTTAGAAGCCATCAGCTGTGCTTTCTCCTTTTAACCCACCAGGATACAGAACACAGCTTTCTGAGAATACCCTTAAAACTACCTTCACCTCTACCCCTTAGCAACCATTTTCAACAGTGAGCCAAGTGGAGACTCAGTCAGAGCTCCTGGCAGCTCTGACTTCTCTGTGGACTGGAGGAAAGGGCCCCACTGATTTTCAGGGGTTTTCAATGGACTGGTAAGCTGGGAGAGAGAAGCCACATGTGGGGGGCATGGCAAAGACACTACACTGGGAGGCAGGAGACTGGGTTTGAATCCGTGTGTTTGCCAGTAACCTACTTTATGACATCTGTTTTCTTTGTATCATATATAACTAGCATCATATATAAAATTTTGATAGCCGAAAGAATGGGATCGAACCAGATCATTGGTTCTTAGACCTGGCTTGCTTGTTGTAAATGAAGATTCCTGGGCCCTAGCCTAGATCTACCTAATCAATCTCTGGGTTGGTTCCTGGTAATGAGCTCCCCAGGTGACTCCAATGAACTGTCGGGTTTGAGACCAACTGACATAGACAAGTGTCCATGAATCTGGGTCTGTGTTTTTTGATGTCACGGGCTATTAGTGCTAAGATTGAATGTGATCCCACCAGTAGAAGGAGACAAAACTTGGCTGACTGTTGAAGGAGAGGGTTATTTGCTTATTTCACACCCATCTATTAAACAACCAGACTGTTATATTTTAAGGCAAGGTCATCAAGAGAGATCATCTCCACACCTCTACCCTTTAAGAGAAAACTCAGGAATTTTCATTTATCTATTGCCCTCTTAAGTTTTATTTCAAATGGTAAAGTTTTCAATTTGTATAAATTATTAAACTGAATAATGTGTTCCTCCTTTCTTTCTTGGCAGAGGAAGTTGTGGGTGCTAGCAGAGGGTAGGGGAAGCCTTCGAGATTGTAGGAAGTTCCTGAAAACTTTCCCACCCTGGTGCTCCTGCCCCAACCCCCATTCTGGCATCCAGCCCCTTTAGAACAAAATCAGGGGAGAATTCGCCCTCTCCTCCAACCTGGGGGTTTGGGAAAGCTCTTGCTAAGGACATGTTCTGATTAGGACTCAAGGACAGCCTTCGTCTTCTCCTTACATGTCCGACCATATACCTTCCCCTTCAGGCAAGAGTAATGTGTCTGCTGATTGCTCTTGACCATCAAGTACAGGAACTCTCTTCCTCAAATCCCCCTTTTCCACCCCAGAAAGTGCTTTCAGAGCTAAAAATGAGACCGCTTCCTGTTCTTTGGAGGAGGATATGAACTGGTCAGAGTGAAGGCTGAGAAGGGGGCCCTGGCTTCTGGGCTTTGCAGAAACACCAACATTGAACTTTCTTTTTGAAAGGGCCATGATGTCATGTAAGTTGAGATGTTAATGGGGTAAAAGCATTAAAGAGGCAAACTATTTTAGTGGAAAAGTCTAGACTTTCAATGAAGAACCAATGATGCTGGGCAAGTCCTCTTGAATTTCAATTTTCATTATCTGTGAAACAAGCAAGTCTGACAATCATATAGTTTCTATAGATCATAGATTCCTTATGGCTCCACAATATTAAGGCACGGCCAGATTTTGATCTAGGAGGACTCTTTGAATAGAATTATATGGCAAGTTTCTTCTTTCTTTCAGTGTGTTTTATCCCATAATTTACAGGCTAGCGGCCGAAAAGGCAGGGATGCGCTCTCTCTCTCTCTCTCTCTCTCTTTCTCTCTCTCTCTCTCTCTCTCTCTCTCTCTCTCTCTCTCTCTCTCTCTCTCTCTCTCTCTCTCTCTCTCCCAGCTCTTTATTTGTTGGGATTCTTTACTCCTTGGCAATTTCATTGGGATTAGAGATGAGAGAGAAGAGGGAATGACAATAGAAGAGTTACTGTCGAATCTCTCTCATCACAAATAGATCTTTCTCCTTGGAAAAGTAATCCAAGAAAGAAGATGGTTTGAGCTTAGCATGGATTCTATAAGAAATTGGCTGATTAGAAAACAAGGAATACTGGGAAAAACACCAAGCAGTTGAATGACCTGGGTTAAAATTTAGGCTTTCACTTTGTAGTCTTATAAACCTTAGGAAGTTACTCCACTTCCCTGAGTCTCAGCTACCTCATCTATAAAATAGGTATAATAATACTTAGCTTTTTCTGAAGATAATGCATGTGAAAGTGCCTGGAACACAGCATAAACTCAATCTTATTTAAAAAAAAATTTTCCTCTCCCCTTTAATCCTATTTTATGCTAGAGCATGCCAGTTGAATTCCCGATTTTGAAGTTTGTATCTTTAGTATTGCCATCCACCTGCACTATCACTTAGAAAGAGCAGAGCTTCTGTCAAACTCCATCCCAGCCTTTGTCCTAGCACATTAAACTCATACCATCAATTATACTGTACCTACTGTCTCATTTCCTAGACCTTTCAGATTCCTAGGATGGAGACTGGACATTATTCATCTTTGTATCACCAGCACCTGACCCAGTGTAGTTAGTCAAAAAAAAAAAAAAAAAGTTTTTTTGGATCAATGAGAAGTATATGGCATGGTTCTTTTTTAGTTTTTATAACACCAACAAGAATAGTGACAGATAGTCTTTTGTATTCATATTTCATTTTGGCTTGCAAATAGTTTTGCATATATTAACTTAATGTAACTCTAACTAGAAACCCATGAGCAAGGTTATATCCACCCCTATCCAGGTTCCTATTCATATTGGGGAAAAACAGAGGCCTAGAGAAGGGGTAGGACTCATACAGTTATGTTTAGTGGTGGCATCAGCGCCAAGTCCGTGATTCCTAGTCTAGCCCCAAGTGGCTAGTATCCAATTAGAAAATTTATTTGAAGTCTTGCTGTGTGTATTGTATTGCACAAGCCAGGCACTCAGAAAATGGGAAGTGTATATGACCCAGTCCAGTAAAGGCTCCACATATACTCACTGAAATTCTGCTCCTCCTGCAAGGCCTACCACTAGGGCCATTTCCTTTCTGGAGCCTAGAAGTGAATCCAGCCTCTGAATTCCTAGAGCATTTAATTTTGCCTTCTGTCTTAACAGTACACTGGTTATAAGTTGCCCTGTTTCACAGGCATGTGTATCCTCATCATATCTGCCTCCTGCCAGTACTTGAAAAATGGGGAGCATATGTTCATCTTTGTGTTCCCTTCAAAGCCTAATATCCTACCTGGCTCATATTGTTTTACAAAAATGTTTGTTGGAGGGAAGGGGATAAGGGGAAGGAATCGTGCCTTTGGTGGGCAGTAGATCCTGGAGGTGGACAGGAACAGGCACTTAGTGAAAAGTCTTGAGGGGGAAAACAGTCTCATAAACAGTTACATGTGAGTATTAGTGAGGTTGAGAATTTCATTTCTTGGAATCATTAGATAAGTAAGAGATGTGCCAACTATTTTCATATAAGCAATTCAAATAAAGCTTGATGGACTTGTAGTTGAGAGTCAGCAGAGAATAAGAGACTGAACGTTGAAATAGATGTTGGAAGACCCAGACCTTCCCACCACCAGCGGTGTGACATTGGTTGAGTCACTGAACCTCTCCACTGAACCATTGCTGTAAAATGGAAACAATTATAGTCTCTCTCTCTCTCTCTCTCAGGATGTTTGAGGGTTAAATGATATCATCCATGTAGAGCACTTAGCAGAGTTCCTGGAACATGGTGAGCTTTGATCAACAGCAATCAGAATTATTAAGTAACATTTAGGATATGATAAGAAAGGAGCCACATTTGGGATTTTGCTGTCTTGACCTCTGCTCCAGGAATTTGGTCTAGATTCTCTTTAAATTACTTGTAGATCTAACAACCTATAACTC